CTCACTTGTGTGTTAGTATTGCTAAAATAGATGTTGGTGTTTAGACTTGATGAAAGGCTTGTAGGCTGCTGCATGTATTGATCTCGCTTATGACACCTGCAGCCCGCGATATAAAGTCACACTGAGGGTTTGCAGTGTGAACCTCTGTAACTGTAACACACCAAACAGGAAAGAAGCACTAATTAATGTAGAGTGCGGGGCCTGCCCACAAGGAAGCCCACTGAAACCAAACGAGCCATTGTGAAACATCAAAAGACAAAGATTTTGTTGATTGTGTCCCTCTCATATGAAGAGGAGACCAGTGCAAACATTTGTCCCGTCAGCTTGGACTCTGGGGGAAGGAAATAAAAATCCCTGACCAGAAGTACCTGTATCACTACCCTGCTTGGAATTTGGAGAGGGCAATATTTCTAAGCATAAGCAAGGGATCCCCAAACTGCTTAACTTGGGCTAGCTACAGAGGACATAGAAAGCTTGGGTGCTGGCTGCTGAGTCTTGCCCACATGCTCAGGGTTTAGCTGATCGCCATATTTGGGGTCGGGAAGGAATTTTCCTCCAGGGCAGATTGGCAGAGGCCCTGGAGGTTTTTCGCCTTCCTCTGCAGCGTAGGGCACGGGTCACTTGCTGGAGGATTCTCTGCACCTTGAGGTCTTTAAACCAGTATTTGAGGACTTCAATAACTCAGGCATAGGTTAGGGATTTGTTACAGGAGTGGGTGGGTGAGATTCTGTGGCCTGCGTTGTGCAGGAGATCAGACTAGATGATCACAATGGTCCCTTCTGACCTTTAAGTCTATGAGTCTATATCACAGCAGTTTCTATTACCTTTTGGGACCTAAGGCTGTGACTCATTTGTGTGTGTATGTTTAACTGCTTCAACCTTGTAAATAACTCATTTCTTTTTCTTAATAAACCAACTAAAGATTTATTAACTATCGGATTGGCTACAAGTGTCTTGAGTGTCAGGTCTGGGGTAAGAACTGGTCATTTGGGACTGAGAGTAACCAGAAAATTGCTGTGATTTTTGATGTAAGGGACCATCTATCACAAAGGCAAGTTTGCCTGGGTACAGGGTGGATTCGATTCAAATCAAATTGATTTAAATCATGATTTAAATCGTGATATAAATCACTAGTCAGGAAGACTTGATTTAATCATGGTTTTCTACATAGAAGTACATTCTTGTTGGTTGTTATAACCTTAATACATATTCTTCACAACTCAGAGATAGATGTAGGTTTCATTTTT